ATGAAGTCCTGAAAATTCTTAAGAAAACATTGCAGCGGGGAGCACACACAAGCAGACAACTGTCCCATTTTGACAACAAACACCAGACAGACAAGTCCTGTGCAACCAAAAGTCACACTTGCTAGATGCCGTGGCCACCATTGTGGCCACCGGCTAAAGTCAGGAGGTAGTACTGCGTCCAGCCCTCCCCTTGACTCCCCTGTGAGATCTCACCCCAGGCGCCTCCTGTCCTTACTTCCTGCAGGATTTTTCAATAAGTCCTCGCCGCTTGCCCGGTGATGGATGGGAGAGAGCCTCCTGCCCTAGATAGGGGGTCCCTCTCACCCCTGCCGGGTATCTCACTGCGGCCTCCAAATGTTGTGGACCAACATTTGCGAGAATAAGACCACCAACTCCAATTAGGTCTTAAACAGCAAGCGAGGATTTATTGAGCTGGCCAGCGCCTGCCACAGGCCCCTCCTGTAACAGCCCCGAGCTTTGTGCTCGGTGAGCTTTTATTCACAGAAACCACACACGTCCTTGATTTACAGTTACAAGGGTCTAATCAGGACCTTGACGCGCAGATGTCTGGGAGTGGGAGACTTGGAGTTATGCCTGGTTACCTATCCTTGACCCCCATCCTTGTTAAAATTTTTTACTGACATTCAATTCACCACAGAACATAATGAAAGCATAGTGATTAATTACAAAAACAATATGTAATTATCTATGTGTTTTCCGATGGTCTAAGGCGACTCCTGTGAAAGGGTCGTTTGAGAACTGCTGGCCTAGGGAGAAGGAACTGTTGTCATTTCCCAGGGGTTTCAGGTGTCTGCCTGATGCAGCCTCTGCAATCCCCAATGGTCAGCAGTGCCACATTTTGAAAGAAAAAAAAAAGATAGTAAAGTAAGACAAGGACAAAAAATACCCCAAATCAAATAAGGACTGAAAGGTACCATTGGATTGCCCGACTGCTGTGGCTCAGGGGTTGAGCATCGACCTAGGAACCAAGAAGTCAGGGTTGAATTCCCTGTCAGGGCAGGTGCCAGGTTGTGGGGGTCTATCCCCAGTAGAGGGCATGCAGGAGGCAGCTGGTTGATGCTGTTACTCTCTCGTCAATGTTTCTATCTCTCTATGCCTCTTCCTTCCCCCCACCTCTCTAAAATAAATTTTTAAAAGCATATTTTTTTTAAAAAAGTACCATTGGATTTAGTAATCACCATGTTCAGGGGAGGGACTGGGAAATACCTGGAGACCAAGTTGGGATGCAAAGGAGGGAGTTGGGACCTCTGAACCAGGAGAGCTCTGAGAGAGGGTGGCATCTGCAGAGGCCTCTGAAGGAGACTCCGACAGGCAGGGGCAGGGTAAGGAGTGGGTATGAGGTCCGCAGGAAGTCAGGAGGCATGTCCAGTTTATCTGCTTTTCTGTCAGTTGCTGGGGTTGCAGCAGTCAGCCTGAGGCATCTTCTCGCTTTGGGTCCTTGTGGTTCCTCGCTGCCTGGGGCTGGGGGCTGGGGGTGTAAGGTTTGCTCAGCTCCCTCCAGGGAGAGGAAGCAGCAGGGCTCTGTCCAAATGGGTTTAGTCCTGCCTTTGGAATCTGTTTCCCGGTGAGGACATGACATCTGCTCAGAGGTGTGGCTCTCAGAGGGCGGTGTCCAGATCAACAGCCCCAGCAGTGTCTGGAGAGGCCCACTTTGGACGGGTGGCGGGGGCGTGTTCCTCAGGAATTGCATTTCTAATGAATTCTCAGGTGGTGCTGCTGGTCCAGGGACCACACTTTGAGAACCATTGGCTGAGAAGAGCTAGAAGTACTTCTCCCTTGAGTTCCAGAGGTGTGGCTCTCAGAGGGCGGTGTCCAGATCAACAGCCCCAGCAGTGTCTGGAGAGGCCCACTTTGGACGGGTGGCGGGGGCGTGTTCCTCAGGAATTGCATTTCTAATGAATTCTCAGGTGGTGCTGCTGGTCCAGGGACCACACTTTGAGAACCACTGGCTGAGAAGAGCTAGAAGTACTTCTCCCTTGGGTTATGGGTGAACATTGGTACTAGCAGGCACAGCCTGCTCTGAGTTTCCACAGAGCGGTGGTCAGGACTTACTGGGGCAGCTACCCGCTGGGCTCAGGCTACCCTTGGAGGGATGGGTGCTGCCCCCGAAACAGGGAAACGAGGCCCCAGGGCTGGCACAGAGCAGAGCTCCTCAGGGTCACGCAGGGTCTGGGCAAGCTGCTTGGTGGGCAGGGGGCACTCTGTCTCTTGGCAGGTGTGTGACCTTGGGCAGGTAACCAGCATCTCACAGCCTCAGTGTCCCCCTTGTGGAGTGAGGTTTCCTGGCTGGGAGGTCCTATTGGCCTCAGAGACCTGGTTTAGTATTAAATCTCCCACCCTAGAAAGATCAGGCCCACCTCTCTTCTCTCCCGTGCATCTTCCCTCCCTAGACAGTCACCCATTTAATCCAAAACACAGCCTCCCTTCCACCATCGATCCCCATTTCTCAGAGAGAAATGTCTCTGATTGCTGCCCCGAGAAAGCCATTCTGCAGTTGGGTCCAGCGCCCTGGGCACCCTCCTTCCTGGCTCCAGCCTTCTCCGCAGCCCTGCCAACCTGCAGAGCAGTCGCCTCGCATGCTAAATTGGACAAGCTGTCTAGACAGTACGTGCTCCTCCGTGCGTTTTACTCCAAGGGTACAGCAGAGTGATGTCAGCACCCCTCGTGCTGAGGGTGTGTCCAGCACCAGGCAGTCACAGGGAGTCACGGGGCAGGAAAGGGTTTATCCAGACAGTGCCCGTGTTCCCTGTCAGGCGACATCCCCCACGGCAGTGACACCGGTGACAGATGCCAAGTGGAGCAGGTCCAGATAAATCCCACAGCCTCCTCGGGAAGGGAAGGGAAGGGAAGGAAAACCCCTCATCTGGTCTGGTCTCCAGGGGAGCTGCCCGGGGCAGTCTCTGTTCTCAGAGGGCCATTCTGTCATCCCCGTGCATTTGGAACCAGAGCCTGGTTCTGATTGCTCAAGATTCTCTCTTCTTAAAAACAACAACAACCCTTCCTCCACCCCTCTCTGCTCCAGCCCCTCTTCCTTCCCACATAGCAGCTTCTCCGCAGAGCTTTTACCCTTGCTGTTTCTTCCTCCTCCTCTTCCTCCTCCTCCTCCTCCTCCTCCTCTTCTTTTTTTAATCCTCACCTGAGGATATTTTTCCATTGATTTTCAGAGAGAATGGAAGAGAGAGAGAAAGACAGAGAAGTATCGATGTGAGAGAAACACATCAAATGGTCCAGGGAGGTGCCTGCAACTGAGGTACGTGCCCTTGACCGGAATCGAACCTGGGACCTTTCAGTCCGCAGGCCGATGCTCTATCCACTGAGCCAAACCGGTTTCGGCTGGGTGAACTGCTTTTAATGTTTTCAATGGTTGTGCTATTCCAACTCTCCCACTTACCATTTTAGCATAAGAATGCTCCCATGTTGTTACCAACTCTGCCCGACTTACTATTTTAAACCTGTTTGGAACAGATGCTAGAAACCTCCTCTGACTGTCATGACCCAGAAACCTTTGAATGTTTGTCTAATTGGACTAGCGTGCCGCTCGCATTGCCTCCTCTCGCCCACAAGTTACCTTCTAGTGATATTGCGTGCCCACACAGGAGCGCACACAATGCCACCCACCCTTTTCTACACATAGAGCAGCACCCTGATCTCCACCTTCCCTTTTTATTTAACGACTCTCTTGGAAATGATTTCAGAGAGAGCTGCCTCGTTCTCGCTTCCCAGCCTTAGTGCTCCACTGTGTGGCCGTACATCAGGTTATTAAACTCCCCCTCCCCCGACACACATTTGCGTTAGTGCCTGTCCTGGTGACTAGAAATCAGCCTGCAGTGAGGCAGCCCTGGGGTGGGGCCCTGGGGCGGGGCCCTGGCCAGGAGACGGGGTCATGGATGGGCAAGAAATTTTGAAGGAAGAATTGGTGAGGCTCAGAGTGAGAAAAGAGACGTGACAAGCTTGGGAATAGGGAGCGAGGTGACAGGAGGCAACGCTGGTGGCAGGTCCATGAGGTGTCTCATTCTGAGCCAGATAAGAGGCTTCTAACTCAGGCCCAAAGCACAGGAGAGAGGTTGAGGCCAGAGTCATGGGCCAGGGAGTGAGCTCACAGCCAAGGACAGACACTGTGCAAAGAGAGAGAAAGAACACTAGCCAGTTTCGGCTCAGCAGATAGAACGTCGCCCTGAAGACCGAAGGGTCCTTGGTGTGATTCCGGACAAGGGCATGGGCCTCGGTTGCAGGCTCCTCCCCAGCCCAGGCCCTGGTCAGGGCTCGTGCAGGAGGCAACCCATCAATGTGTTTCTCTCACATCTGTGTTTCTCTCTGCCTTTCCCTCTCTCTTCCACTCTCTCTGAAAATCAATGGAAAAAATATCCTCAGGTGAGGATTTAAAAAAAAAAAAAAGAGCGAGAGAAAGACATCTTATGCTCGTTTCACAGGCCATAAAAAGTGGTGGACTCTTTCCTGCCTCTCTACCACAACACAGGCCTCGTCTGTGGTGAGGGGAGGAAGAGAGATAGCTGGGCAGATGGTCAATATTCAGAGGGGACAGACGTGCCTCTGGAGAGGCCACATATGTAATCCCATGCACTGAATGCAGAGCTGCTTCCCTGACCCTGTCAGGCCTCTGAGAGGCAAGGCCTTGGGTGGAGAGGCTGCCTGGTAGGTATCCCTGAGGCCCGGCCTGGTCCCAGCCACCCACCTGCCCCTCCCCCG